GGGGCTGGTGTGCCTTGTGCTGTTCTAGTGTCATGTTTCTGAGGGAAAGGAAGCACCCAAGATATGCGCCATGTTTGAAAGTGGCAAACGGGAAGGACACCAACCATCCCGGACGTTGCACTTAACACTGTATACATCCTGTGGAATGTAGGAACTGGATCAAATTGCTTGGAGAAACATGGAAACCCACAACAACTGATGTTTCCTGATTCATGACTCAATCTTTGGTTTGGGCGTCCAAGTAGTGTTCCAATTACTGTGCACCGCAGAAGCACAATGTGTTGCCTTGCCTCTTCCAAGCAGGCAGCAAGTTTTGTCCAGACAAACACATGCCAGCAATGTGGGCTTGCTTTGTCTTCGCATTCATTTGTTCCAGAAACATGTCAAGGTGTTTGTCCAACAAGTCAGCAGTTCAAGTTTCGATTCCGTGGGGCGTGGTTGTAGATTCATGTACCGAGAGATTTCGCCAAGGGAGCAGAAAGAGGAGGAGGAGCGGACCAAGCAGATCAGCAAGCAGTACAAGGTGGCTTTGTTTTGTACCGAACCCTAGGAGGTTAGCCATATACCCAACCTTATCCTGGTAGCTCTTGGACATATGTTGTTTTACGCTGCATGTACACACTGTTTGGTATTTCGCGGCACCTGGGGTGCTTGGTGTTTTTTTCCCCCCAACAGCTGAAGCTTTGGGGTCTCAGCCCAGATAGGCTCCGGGGTGGTCCGGGGCGGCCCTGACATAAGGTTCCACGAGGGTTCCAACCATGGTTCCACCAGAGTTCCACCATCTGCAAGGGCTGCGGGGTGGTCCGGTTTGAGGTGAGGTTCTTCGAGTTCCACCAGGGTTCCACCAGGGTTCCACGAGGCCACCACCGTTCCACCAGGGTTCCACCAGGTTCTGCAAGGTAAGGTTCCATGAAGGTTCCACCGCCAGGGTTCTAGCAGGGTTCCACGAGGTTCTTCGAGGGCTTTGAGGTAAGGTTCCACGAGGGTCTGTTTGCGGGGTGGTCCGTGGTTGAGGTATGTTCAATACGGGTTCCACGAGGGTTCCACCAGGGTTCCACCAGGGTTCCACCAGGGTTCCACCAGGGTTCCACCAGGGTTCCACCAGGGTTCCACCAGGTTCTGCAAGGTAAGGTTCCATGAAGGCTCCACCAGGACCAGGGTTCCACGAGGGCTGCGGGGTGGTCCGGGGTGGTTTGGGGTAAGGTTCCACGAGGGTCTGTTTGCGGGGTACCAGGTTCTGCAAGGTAAGGTTCCATGAAGGTTCCACCACCAGGGTTCTAGCAGGGTTCCACCACATTGTTCAAGGGCTGCGGGGTGGTTTAAGGTTCCACGAGGGTCTGTTTGCGGGGTGGTCCGTGGTTGAGGTATAAGGTTCCACAAGGGTTCCACGAGACGAGGGTTCCACGAGGCTCCACCCATTTATACCAGGGTTGCACCAGGTTCTGCAAGGTAAGGTCCCATGAAGGTCCCAGAAAACAGAGGTAAGGTTCCATGACGGTTCAGGGTTCCACAAGGTTCTGCGAGGGCTGTGGGACGGTCCGGGAGGCCCTGACGTCCGCAAGGATTTTTTTACAAGAGTTCCACAAGGCTCCACAAGGTTCCACGAGGGTTCCAGAAATGTTCTGCAAGGTTCCGTGGTTTGCCCTGACAGAAGCAGTGTGTCATGCGCCCGCCGTCTGAAAAGCCATCCAAGCAGTAAATTGAGGGCTCAGAAGATCGCCTTGCTCATGGGCGGAACACTAAGCAAAACCGAAATCAAGGGTTTTCAGCAAACTTTCACTGTTTTGTCACTTGCTCACTTGCTCAGGCAACGCGGCCCGAAATGTTGGCTTTGTGGCATTAGATCACGTTGCTGCGGGACTCACGGTGCAGCAGAGTACATGCTTGGCATTGCTGAGTATTACTTGGTGGGCTTTGGGTTCCAAGAATTCCACGAGGCTGCGAGAGCTGTGTGGTAAGGTTCCAAAAACGCTTCCACCAGGTTCTGCAAAAGCTATGGGGCAGCCCTGAGGAAAGGCTCCAACAACAAAGTTTCACGCTGAGGTCCACGAGGTTTCACAAGGACGGTTTGCGAGGTTCACCGGGCCCAGGTCGGGGCCCGATTGCACCGTCAGGGCCCGATTGCACCGTCGGGCCCCGATCGGGCCCCGATTGCACCGCCGGGCCCCGATCGGGCCCCGATTGCGCCGTCGGGCCCCGATCAGGGCGCGATTGCGCTGTCACTCTTAGTTTTGCTTTATAAAGTTACAAAGCGGCATCCTCAGCAACACCGGCGGTGAGGTGAATTCCGGGGCGTTCCGCGAGGATTCTGGGAGGGCGTGGTGCTGTTGGGGATATCGCCTGAGCTTAATTTTTTCACAAATAACTAAAACTACGCTATGTCAACTGGATTGCATGCGCGTTGCACGCTTAAAAGCATGGGCAGCGTGTGAATCAATCCAGTCCCTGCCGGCTCGCGGATACCAATTTGCGGGTGCTGGCCTCGTGGCCTTTTGAACCATTGAGCCCCAATCCCAGCTTAACCCCTTGAGGCACGGGCTTCTCCCTGCTTCTCCTCTTCTCCAGGGAAAGCCCCACCCCCCCAAAATACAAGCCCCCTTTTCAAAGCCCCCCCCCAAACAAAAAAAAACACCTTCTGGTTTTGAAGCGACCCCCCCCCAAAAAAAAAAACACCACAAACACCACCCGCTTTTTGGCGCCGCGAGGTGCCCATGGGCCGGCTGCTGAGCTACAACAGGCCGGAGTGGCCCTTCTTCGTGCCCGCGGTGCTGGGCGCCCTGGTGGCCGGCGCGGCGATGCCCATGTGCACCGTGGCCCTGGTGGGCTCCATGAACGCCTTCTACAAGGCGCCGGGCGGTGGCGCAGTCGTGGGGGGGGGTGGGGGGGCGCCTAAGCAAATGGCGGTGTTTTCAGGGGGCATCCAAAGACAAGGTCCTGCTTGGATTTAACTGATTGTCGATGCCCACTATCCATGGCAACCCATTTGACCAGATAAATTGGGAGGTCGAATGCCTGGATGTGTTGGATGCTTGGTTTTGGGCACCCTATTGACGAATTGATCTTTTGACCTCGTTGTTTTGCAGCTTTCAAGAGAAAGAACTCGTGTGTGAACGCGACAGGAGATCGTTGACCTGACAGCATGGCCAATACGGCCAAAGCCCTGTGTGAGTTTCAAGGAAAAGACAGTCATGCTGGTTGCTTGCGGAGCGGTGATTCGATGGGATCACATTGCAACATGCGCATGTCGGATCCGTGCGAAACGAGGTTCCAAAGATGCCGCTGAGGGTTCATGTTGGGGTTTTCTATTTCCTCAAGCCCAAAAGGCCCTCAACAAAAGACACGCGAGGCTTTGCTGTTTCGTGTTGCCAAAGCCATCCACTCGCCAGACGGACAAGGAGGAGATGCGTTCCGACCTGGAGCCTCTTGGCATAGGGTCAAAGGGAAGACAAATAACTTCTTTTTTTTCTCGGGGGGGGGTGAACAGGTGACACACCCCAAAATCTGGTCTAAGGCCAAGGCGGGCAGGGGGAATTGGCTTGCAACCAATATGCCTCACGAAGGTTCTGATTTGTTTCAGGCGTTTCGGTCAGCGTTTGCCTTGTCTCTGGCTTTTTTTGGGCCTTTGCATTTTCTTCGGAAGCGTCTAGGATGTCCACCGGGGGGGGCGCTCTGCAATGCTGCGAGTGCATGTGAATGGGCCAAGCCAGGGAGGCTGCGGCTGAAGGCCGTCGGCATCAGAATGGCCTGGGATCCACACCTTCCTCTTGCCAATGAGGCCTCGTGCCGACTCATCGAACTTGGCCTTCCTGCCTTGCTCAGTGAGCTGCACACAGCCAGCTTTTTGCCCGCTCGCGCACCCGGACCAGCCTCTTCGGACTTGCCCAGTGGCGCACCTGGTTGGTCGCGGCTTGCGGCCCTTTCCTGGATCCAACGGCCGTTTCTGCGATCCGAAGACTTGAGCTGATTTGGATCTCCGGCGTCGGACTGCTTCCTTCCGTTTGCTGGCGTTTTCACGCCAACGACTCCTTCTGGATGCGCTCTTTCACTGTGGAGCCGTTGGCCATGCCCGCTATGGCACTCGTGTTTTTTTGTCTGAGTTTTTTGGCTGAGTTTTTTGTCGAGCTTGTTTGAGTTTCTTTCTTTTTCTTGAGGAGGTTGGTTGGGGGGGGGAGGAAATCAGCAGTTTTCTCCAAGAAAACACCAAAAACAACTCAAACAAACTCAGAGACAACTCAGAAAAACTCAGCTCCCCACTCAGCCTCACACTCACGTGGGGGGCTGAGTTTTTTTCGAGTTTTCCTGAGGCTTCCCAGGTTGGGAGTTTTCCAGATTGAGCTTTTCGGCTTGAGTTTTCTGGCCTGTGTGAGCGAGATCAGGTCATGCTATGTCGCTGTCTTGCACGAGTTTCTCGGACTCTGCGTCTCCTGAGGATTCCTCTGGTTCGGTGCTGGCAGCTACAGCTCTCTGCCGTCTCTGTATGGAGTCTAGTCGTTTCATTGCTCAACGTCCCTTTCCTACGCAAATGAGTCATTTGCGTGATCCCCTCTGCTGGGTTGGTTTGCTGCTTGGGTTTTTGGCCGCGCCACCTTGTGGCTGCCATTTATCTTGGATTCTCTCGTGGTTGCCATTTGAAGTAATGGCGCGGCTTGTCATGTCGACTCACATCGGCTTGAGGCATGGTGCAACATGCAGGTTCTTTTTTGCGAGGTTCAATGTCTTTTTGCAGGTTGGTGCATTTATGCAACTCACCCAGAGCAATGACATGGAGTTTGCAGGTCACACACTAACCCGTGCACCAGACAACTGGGCCACTTAGCTTTCAGGAAATTCGGGTGTAGCCCCCTCTTCTGTGATACTAAGGAACCTCCCTTCTCAATGGGGGATCAGTCTTTGAACAGCCTGAAGTGGCTGCAATTCCCGCAGCAATCCATCTTGCTTGACCCGTCCCTATCCAATCGGAAAAGCAAACAAAGCGCATGCACATAGTTGTCTTCGTGCAAGGGGTCAACAACAGGAATCTCAGTAATGCAACTATAGCGCCGGGGAAAAGACGACTAGGACCTGCAAGCCGGCTGATGCCTACCTTTTACCTAGCTGAACAATGACAACTGTGACCTGTACAACATACCTACCACTTGCTCATGCCATGCATGAAAAAATAAGCCGGCGAACCTGCAACCAACTTCAGCTCGACTTTCTCTGGAAAGGCAGTCTGCTGAATTTCCTCTGTTTCCCATTCTGGTTGCTTCAAGCATCGTTTGACTTGCTATTTGGTTTGAGTTTCCTTGGGCTTGAATCACAAGGCGGAAGCAGGGGGGACCTGTCTTGGCTTCAACTGTGTTGTTTGATGCAGGCAGTCTGCACTTTTCGGTCAGTTGGTGGATCCCTATCCCTCAACGCGCGAATCTGAGGTTTGGATTTCCCAGCGCCCCCTTCCACATCTGAACTCAAAGCTTACCCCATTTTGGAGTGGCTTTACGGAGGTTCATGTCGCTGCTGTTTGTCATCATCGGAGTGAGCTGCTTGCTGGGCTCCACCATCTCCAATGGCTGCTTCGCCATCTTGGGTGAGGCGGCTTTTGGATCGAAGTTGAAACATCCGGCGCAAACGGTTTCCGCTGAGTCTTACATCATCTGCTTGTTTGCATGTTCCCTAGAACCACAAAAGAATGGGTGGACCGTTGGTTTGCTTGACCCTTGTGCGTAACACCAAGTTGCACGATCCATCCATGTGCATTTGCTTCAAAATGCCTTCGGGTTTTTTCCCATTTCAGTCACACATCCGAAGATTCTCCTTCCACTGATCAAAACCCCGGCTCGATATAGGATTTGTTGCCAACAAAGAGGTTCAAGCCCCGTGAGTTTACAGTCCCACCAATAAACACATGGCTCAATGCGCAGACTTGCTCGCCAAACGGACAGTAGTCTTCCAAGATGGGCCGCCATTCCTTCACGTTTGGCAGGAAGGTACGTGTTTGATTTTCGGCAAGTTATGCTGCGCCCAGTTGAGACATGTACTGGGGGGTAACGGGCATCTCCGAGCAAGCCTCCGAACAGTGGCTTCAACACGGACGGTGGCCTAGGCGTTTTGGGCTCCCATGGGTTTCGAGTTGCCATTTTCTGTCAGGGAATCCTCTTCACATGTTCTTCGTTCAATCACAGCATGTTGACCGAGCGTGAATGTGATTTGAACCGGGCCTTAGGCAAGACTCATTGTTACGGGATCTCTCAGGCTCCCAGGGTGGGGAAGTTGGAAATTCTGCACAGAAGAGATTCTTGGATATGCAGGCCAAGAAAGAATGCGTTCGCTCGCCAGAAGGCACCAGCGTGATGTTCTCAAAGGACTGGATGTTTCTTGTGTCCCGCACCCCGAGACGCCCTGGTAGGCCATGACTCAGCGGCTTCGTGTGAACATCCTCACCACCATGTTCCGCCAGGAGGCTGGAAACATGAAACACGCCCCCAGCGGGGCGGGTCGGTGAGTTCTGAATGCGGTTTCGGGATAGAAAAAGGCCGAGTAAGTTAGCAAGGGGAAAGTCCCCATGCCATGAATGGGTGCAGATATCCGCCTCTTTAATTTATTTGCATGGTTCTGGGTCCCGACCATTTTAATACCAAGATCTGAGTATGACTCATTTGAGCCAAGATTCAACCAAAAACCCTGAATGTTGTGATAAAGCCAAGGGTTAGATAACTCTACTTCCTTGCAATCTTGAAGGAATCCACCGTGAGTTAGTAGTGAAAATGGTGTCGACCCTCAGAATCCCAGGTCCTGCTTTCGAACCAACGGTGTTCGCTAGGTCTCATCCGCTTTCCTTTGAGAAGAATCAAGGGGAGCCTTTGAAATGCCTGTTTGCAGCTCGGCCCATCATGCAGTCATCTTAGAGGAGGTCCAGAAGCGAAATGGATGCTCCTTCCAAGATGGCATTTTCACTGGACGCACATCAGGTCACCCTTACCCGGATTGATGGCTTGGAAAGTTGCCAAGTTCCTCTTGAGCCAAATTACAGCCCATAAGCTCTACTGCCACCAATCAACACCAATTGGAGGAAAGATGACTCCGAGCATATGACAGATGACTCTTTTGGCACATCGCATCTCTTGAGGCTAGCCTGTTTGGGGGTGTATTCTGGGCAAAAAACAGAAAACGCGGGCCGCCTCCTCAAAGGGGTCCCTCGCAGACCCGTTGCCATGGCATTTGACAGGGAGGTCCCGAGGAATGGATCTGCGAGGCCAGTCCCGGAAGAAAGCTCCCGAAGTGCCACGGCTCAAAGGAAGGGCTTGCACGTAACCAGCTTGCGTCTCTTTTTTTTGGTCAGGGGATATGGCCTTGAGTTGCCAATCGCACATTTGAAGAAACACTAGGTGAGCCTTTCTCACTTCCAGTTTCCAGAGCAGCTTTCTCTCTTTTCTCGAATTGCTGCAAGTCTGCTGCTTTAAGTAAGTTTCCTTGCAAGCCGGAACGCCCCGAGTCTTCTGCCCTCAGCACCTGAGCCGAGTTGTTCCCGACTTCAGCTGACTTACACCAACGCCTGAGCTACAGGGTCACACGTCCCATAAATTGGACCTTTTGGGCCAATTTGAGTTTCGCTTCGGGGCTGCGAGCAAGGGACCCTACTGTGCATGTTTTTGTTTTTTGCAGCTTGCAAGGTTGGCTTCCACGACAATCCCGAGAACACCCCGGGCATGCTCTCCAAAGCTTTGGAGCTCTGGGCCTTCCGCGTGAGCTCTTTGTGCAAGTCCATCCAGGCAAGCTTTTCATGGCACACATAAGGTGGTACCGACAAATGAGTATGGCTCAAAAAACCGGTACTAAAATGGAACCCTGGTAAGTGGAAACATGGACCAAAACCTGCGTAACCCTAGCTCTTAAATTTTGAGCCACAGCCAAATGATGCTGGTCCTGAATGAGCTTTGATGGGGAAACATCTGAGCAACCACGAAGGGACCAAGCGCCTTTCCAGTGTGGGTCGATGCCATGGTCTCAGCAGCTTGGTAAGATAAATTGGGTGGAAGCACCTTTTTGCACGCTCTTTGGGCACAAACCATTTGGACAGATTTGGTTTACCTTTATCCTCCTGTGCCATGGATTGGCCTGGCCTTCTACACTACACAAAGAATGAGGTCAGCAAATTGCCCAATTCCGCAGCTGCAAGTATCAATGGCCGGATTCTTGCACGGTCTTGTAACAATCGCCCTGTTTGGCCGAGGCCACTAGGCATCAATGGTAACTTCACGGTCAATGGCTAAGGCTCTTGGACTATACCCATGTATGCCCCTGAATTTATCGATATGCTGATGCATAGCCCAACAAGGCTACGTCTTCCAAGTCTTTTGGTCGCCGGGGCTTCACTGCAGGGTTCGAGCGTGTCTTCTCTAAGGTGCCCGTTTGGCCGGGGAAGCAAACCCTCCGGTTTTTCGGGAGCCTCATGGTCGCTGTCGCAGTTTGCTTGGCGTTCTCATTGAGATGGCAGGGCAAAATGCCCTGGAGTTGTTCTGCTTTTTGCACGGTGGTCGTGTTGCGTTTCCCCCCTCCCACACCAAAGCTGCGGGCCTTAGGCCTAGATGAAGGTCCATCAGGCGACAAAAGATCTGGGTCGATAGTCCAAAGTTGCCGCGTTCTTAAGACTCCAGGAAATTCGGCCGGAATCCGCTCTTGCAAGCTAGCGGCGCATGTTTGGCAGTTGACTTTTTGTTTTCTTCTTTTTCTCACTCTGGTGTGGTCTTCTCTTGTTCTGGCGTGATTTTTGTTTACCGGATGTTTTTTTTGTTTTGGCGGGGGCCAATGCCAGCCCCCAGTCTACGAAGTGAGCCTCCATTTCTGTCTGCAGGCAAAGGCCTCTGCCATTAGCTCTATGGTGGTTGGCCTCACCTTGGCCGCTGGGGCGAAACCCACAAGTCCGGGCCGGGCGGTTGAAGGTGCTAGTGCGAGAGATGCAGGGAATGAGACATGGAATGACCCCACGAAAAACCATCCCTTGCTGGTGGTTTCCTTTTAGGGCATCCCTGGATTTATTTTCACATTCCCTGTGGGGCGCCAGCGAGGTTGGATCTCGGATCAAAAACGAAAGGCTCCACTGTCGAACCGTCCTGTTTCGAACAAATGCAAGTGACAGCAACCAAGAACCTCACTACGACCTGGTTTCCTGATACGGCAAGGCGAAAATAGACTTGACTAGAGGTAGTCTCGATGGGTTTTGGGCGCTGCGCAAGTCGACAAAAGCCCACCCAGGAAATATTCTGAAGCAACCTACTCAGAACGGATTCTTGTTGGATGGTTCGGAGCACTTTTTGGAGGGTAGGAGGTTCCTGATGTCTCTCCTGAACTTGAAATTAATGGTTCGAACCAGGGAAACCGGCAGGGTTCCATGTTTGCACTCAAAGGTACGACTTAAACTCAGGGGTCACCCTCCTCATGTTTTGAAGTGTTGGAATGTTCGCCTGAGATGCCAGCCCCTTCTTGATCATAGAAAAAGCTGCGAAACCGGCGGGCAGCAGGCCTTGTTTTTGCGACTGGGTGCGTTTGCAGCCCAATTGAAAATACAACAAACAGAAGCATTGTGTCTTGACATGGCGGGGTGAACCCCTTACCCCCTCACCCCACATGGTGAGGTGAGGGGAGGGGGCCGAGCTTCATATTTCACGCCAAGGCGTTTGCGTACTGCTGGCAAATGGCGCTGATTATGCTCGGCTCCATTCCCATCATGATCGTGGCCAATGCGATCCAGATGCTGGTGCTCCTTGGGGCGACCAAAAACGAGCCGCTGGGCCAAAAAGGGGGGGGGGTTGCATATGTGTTTTGCTCACCAGACAGTGAATAGGTTCTTTCATGGACCGATGCATCATTTGCTTGCCTAACAACCTTTGATTGCTTTTGCTGGATGTTGTGCAGCCAGTGATGTTTTTGCCTGCGCTGAGACTTTCAACCTAGCCCTGCACCCCTGCTTGTTTCTACATTGATGGATACTTCGATGCGCCTAAACAGGATGCTTTTTCTTGAACCTATATACGGCAAGAAATGTGTGTTGACAAAATCCGTTCCTGAAAGTCATGAAAGTGCAGGGATCTGCAGTATGTTGGCCGCTCGGAACTGACATCATTCCCCAAGTACCTCTCTTTGCCTTTGTACTGCCTAACATGGTAATATGACGTAGATAGTTCGGAGCTGTTGGCAGAATTTGCTGAGAATACACTTGGACGGAGTGCACGTCGCTAGCTTTCGAAGGTGTTTTTTCCGAATCCTAGCCACCTGGCCCGGAGATTCCAGTCACCCTGCTCGGGGTTGGCGAAACATTGCGTGCATTGAATCAGACGCATCCGCGGCCGTGTTTTTAAGGTCAAACGTGCAGCCTTGCCCAGCTGAGCCAGTGGTTTGTGGGTTTGAATGTGCTAGGGTACCTTTAATCTCTAAGCCAGCAATCCCGTGCAACCACCAATTAAGTTCGGGGCAAGGTGACTTGCTTTGTCCCACCCCCAGCATCCGCGTTTGCTTCTTGATCAGCTGTGCTCACGGGGGCCATGTTCAAGGAGAGGACCTCGGGACCGCGAAACCAGCACGAGGCGGTTTTGGGGATAGCTGATAGCTTTCCGAACACGGGAGGCAAACAAGGATTTCAAGCAAACACAGAGATCCAAGGAACGAGGACCTGACCATGGCACAGCAGATCGTAACGGACTCGGTGATGAACGCCCGCACCGTGCAGGCGGGAAGCTAACTTTAACCGGTGTCCTTTTGGGTCACCTTTTTTTTTCAGATGGGACTGGTTTCAGTTTTCCCTCCCAAGCAAAGAAGTACGCAAGGCCGTTTTGCGAAAGGCGAGAGCTGCCTTCCGAAATTAGTTCTGATAAGTTTCCGCGGCCCAAATGGACGCCTAGCCCGCGTGGCGGACCTTCGTTTCCCCTCAGGCAAGCCCAGCCCTATCCCGTCGAGAAAGCATGGTTTTTGATGGCCCCAGAAGATCCAACCAGTTTGGGTGGGCCAAGCCCAGCATGTCAGCCCAAGCCCAGCAAACCAAACCAAAAACCAAACCAAACCAAACCAAACAGTTCCCTGTAAAAGCCCAAAAAGGGTACCCTCAAAAAGACAAACCATCAAACTTACAAATGGTTCCCTTTGAGCCAATTCGAAAAGGGTTGCAGAATCGGCACTGTTTTGGCGAGGCTTTGGGTGTGGAGAAGGCCCTGGTCGCCATGTACGTCTCGTGGGTGGACAAGTCTGCCAAGGGCATGTGGTGCCGCAACATCGCCGCGGGTTTCGGCTTTGGCGTGTCCTCAGGCGCAGATCGATCGGGCTGAAAAAGAAAAATAACATGGGTGCTTGCAGTTGCTTTCAGGATGACATTCGCTGGCGCAGCAGTTAGACTTGATCAACCTTTACCCATGTTCGAATGAGCCGCAAAGTATGACCCAAGAATAGCCCTATTGAGCTCCCGATGGGTTTTGTTCGAGGGGAAATCACGCATGGAGGGGGGCCACGTTGCCTCTCAGTTGGGCACAGGTATCGACCGCAAGGGGTGGAAACTATTATCATTTCTGGAATGGGATGGGCCGCAGAGCTTCAAAGCAAACACAGCAACACTGTGGATGCTTTGTGCAACAGATGGGTTGTAGCTTGCCAGTTTCTCTGAGTGCCCAAGGGAATTCCCCCGAAAAACGTAATAACGCAGTCGTGCTTGTGTGGTTGGATGGGAATTGCACTTTGCGAGGAAACAAAAAGAGGAGGGCTGTCTTCCACAAGCTACTTGGGGGTCATAATAGCTGTTGCTGTACGCCCGCACCCGCCTTGCGTCCTATTCTCGGCCTCTCCGGCTGCATTCCAATTTTCCATTTTTGTAGGGACGACATAAATGTTGATTGGGGGACCACCCTGCCTATGGTGTTCGTTCTGATTCTTTACGCAGGCCCGCATTGGACGGTGCGCTGATCAGGGGGCCCGTATATTCCCATGTTGGTGATTTTTGAACAACACCTTCTTGGGCCCATTTAAGGTGAGTTTTCCTTGACAGGGGTGATGCTTCAAGGGAAAGTATAGTGAACTGTGTTGGTTCCAAAAGGGGGGGCTAACCTAAGTATTCAAGGGCACTTCCCCTTTTTTGGCTCCGATCTTCGGTGTGCAAGCTTGTGTTCCACTTGGCTTGTTACTCGTCATCTTTGTTCTGAAAAGAGTTACGCACCGTTGCATATGCTGCCCTCACTTGACGGGTGCGTGGGAAGGGATGTTGTCCCTGTTTCGAACAAGTTGGAAGTGACAGCAACCAAAAGCCCACCCCGGAAATATCCTGAAGCAACCTACTCAGAACGGGTTCTTGGAAGGGTTCAGAGCACTTTTTGGAGGGTAGTAGGTTCCTGATGTCTCTGAACTTGAAAGTATTGGTTCGAATCACCGGCTGCCCAGGGTTCCATGTTTGTGCTGCCCAAAGGTACGACTTAAACTCAGGGGTCTCGTTTTTGGGGAAGCCACCACGGGCGGGGACTCTTGGTTTTGCCCAGGTGTCATGTTCTTCGTTATGGCCGGGGGCTTCTATGCTGCGTCGCTGCTGCACCTTGGATTCCTCTGCCTTGCGGCATCCGACCTGAATTGTCCATGGGTTGCCCCACAGGAATCCTGGAACATATGAGGCGGTTCCCCCACAATTCGTCGAACTTCACGGGCAAAAGGGACCAATCCAGACATCATGCAAGTGGACACAACTTGGAGTTGAGGAGAGGTGGTGCAAAGCAACCTAGGAATTGGCAAAGGGTGGCTCAAAGGGACAGTGGCAAGGAGGGTAAAACGAAATTTCTCGCGACCCCAACATACTGTTACTAGACGGAAGATGGCCACCCAGGATCATGTACATCATACATTTGTAAAACATTTGCATGTGTGATTCCAAGAGGACACCAAATGCCTGGCTGGAGCCGTGAGTTGCACCGGTACCTCAATGCGAAACGGAGAGCCAAGATACCCACTCCGGTTCGGGGTCCTTTGCTTTTGTTCACAACTGGAGGCTGATATCCCAACGGAACTGGGCACAAGCTCCAGATCCCCCTTCTTTCCATCCCGTGTCGCCTCATTTTGGCTATTTGGTTAGATTTTTCTGCCGATTTTAGAACGAGCACACGGGGGGATAAGTCATTGCCCGGGGCTTCCGTAGTACATGTTTTGGAATTGTTGTACCACTTGCAGATCTTTGGACTTCAACTTTTCCGAATGGCACCCACCGAAAGTTGACACAACATGTTGCAGGGTCTCGCCAGCAAGTCTTTTTTCTTTTTACGGAAGGCATCGGCCCCTCAGTAACTCACAGAACTCCCGTGAAGTCACCGGCAGGCTTCCGCCTCCCCCAATCCCATCCCAACTCTCCGGGTAGCGCCTTTCAGGATCAAGGACGGCAGCGCGGACTTCGAGGGGGTGATGATGGCCTTCATGGGCGTCTTCTACGCCGGCATGGGCGCCGGCCAGGCCGCCGTCATGGTGGGCGATACCGCCAAGGCGCGGAACACGGGCCTTCTGGGGCCCGGCCAAAAAGGGCGCCGGGAGACGAATCAAAAACACCATAGACATGTTTCAGAAGACTGTCAACACCTCACGGTGACATCGGCTTCCTGTGAAGGTTGGGCATTGCAGAGCCGAAAATCGACGTTTTAGCCGCATTCTGGTTGATTGCACGGTCTTTGGTCAAGGTTACCTCGCACTAAACCCTCACTCCTTGAAACGAAGCGCTAACCCCAACCTGAACCTTAGCTACTCCAGACCACTCACCCAAGCAGGTCTTCAATTCAATTATGTCCATCTAAATCCAACATCTTGCGCGGTGTTGGTCGCAAATGAAGGCTGGATCAAAACCTGAGAAAGCTGCGTCAATCCTCTAGAACTATCCTGTAACCGCGTAACGCCAAGTTGAACGGGTAAAATCCATCCCAAGCCAACCCAACACCAAACTCATGCAAAGACGCCAGTATAAAACCACCCCAAGCCAATATGCATCCCAGGCCACCCGAAACGATGTCGCATGTAGTCCCATTTCAACAGGGTTTCCAGGGATGCAAGGTCCACACCGAGCTAGCAGAAAAAACCGCCCGTGCTTTGCTAAGCTCTGTGCTTTGGACCCGCTGGTTCTAAAGTTCGGGTTGACCGGGGCACCATTTCGCAGTTTGCCTTTTGAGAGAACCCCTTTGTTGGTTGGCAACCGAGGCCACCTGCGAGCCATTTTGGATTCGGGGTACCTCAAAAGGGATCTCCAAAATACTCCGCCAAATGAGGGACATGTTTGCACCTCATTTGGGAGCGCAAGCCATGTTTGCACCTTATTTTGGCGTGCAAGCCATGTTAGATTTGGTGTAACCTGAAAACAAGACAAAACAAACAACTCCCACGGCGACGCGACCAGTGCAAAAAAGAAAGCTGGACAAACCTCCCACGGTGACGCGACCATTGCAAAAAAACAACAACGACCTTCTGAGGCGAAGGTGGCGTGCCACGACATGTTCAAGCTTTTGGACCGGCAGAGCCTCATCGAGGGCTTGGAGCCCAGCGGGGCCACGGAGGAGAAGCTGGACGCCGGCACCATCGAGTTCCAGGAGGCGAAGGGGGGGGGGATGGGCGAGTCAAACAGGGAGACCCCAGTGCTTTTCCGAGAGCTCATAGTTCTTCCCATGCCCATGTGGGGCTGTTTGTGAGGAGACTCTTTTTTGGTTGTTCTAAAGGGACACCAAAAGGAAAACCACTTATGTATTTGTTTAATTATGTGATTCGGGCACGGACCTGTGCCCAGGCAATTGGAAAAGTTGGGGTAAATAAGCCACAAAAGAAAGGCCCCAAAACAGTAACCAATCCCCGGTCCCAAAGATCAGGGTTTCCACACACAAGTGACGCCCACCAACCTGCCCCGGGCCGAAGTCTCTTTCTCCTCCGACGCGTGGCTGATCGACGTGGGGACCCGGCGACGCTCATCCGAGGTCGCGACGGATCCGAACTTGAGCCAAATGCCAACGGATGGTTGCTATCGCAAAGACATGGCTAATCACACCCCCCTCACGAGGAGTCCGTCTCAGACGGGCGGAGCGCAGTTGCGCGACATCCCGGGCTTTTAAAATCCCGCCACCACCCCGAATTAATCGGGGTAAGCATAGACATGGGTACTTGTTCATCTGGAAGGCTGGGCAGAAGCCCATCCTCGCGTGCCCGTCCGAACAAAGTGCCGTACCTCCCTCCAGGGGACTGTCAGTTCGTGTCTCCTGGGCATGGCGACAGGGAGAATACCCCATACCCAGTGAAAAGGTCCACGTAACGACGACAGGTCACTACTGTTTGCAGAGACGCGAGTTTTCATTCTTATCAGAAGCCATGTAGATGTTCAACAAAACAGTTGAATGACAGCACCCTCGCCTATTGGCAAGACGTGCTTCCTACCACGTATCACCCAAAATTAGTGGACTGGGAGTAACCTCCCCTTATCCACATCCCCTCTCACTCGTACAACTCCAGAGTGATCTTCACCAGCAGCCCAGCTGCGGTCCAGAAGGAGCATGACCACCACGCCTCAGCAGTGCAGGAGGGGCATGAGCATCACCCGGCCCCGACCATTGGAGGACGAAGGATTCAGACTATCGGCCACCCCTCTCGCAACACAGCCTAGAGGCTGTCGTACGCCTCCTCCGATCCCTCCGATCGTCCCTTCTCCGATTGCGGTCTTCATCCCGCCCGCGGCCTTCGCGGTCTTCGGGACTGACTCCACCGATGCCGTTCTTGAACCCACGGCATCACTCCGGCTGCTCTCCGCAGCGTACCTTTCCCTGACCTGTTTGATCACACCCATGTGACGCCGAACGGTTCGGGATATCTCCCTATCATCCGATGCCCTCAGCAACATGGTCAGCGTGACATCAGCAGGGATCGCACTGTAGTAACCTCTCCACCTGGCCGCTCCATCCTCTGGCTTCTTTGCTTTTGCCTTCGAAGCCGTGGATAACTCCACAGGCTCCTTCGGCGACCCAGCGCAGAGTGGAGATCACCACCACTTGCCCCCCTAGCTGCAGCCGTGGGCCTTTGGATGCTTGGGAGGCCTCGCTTCCCTGATGACTCCTGAGCAGGTTCCTAAGGATCCCATCAAGGCTTCCGTCGCCTGTCCCGCCCTGACTATCGCCAGGAGCGGAGCGCTCCTCCACGAGCTCCTGCTTCTCGGTCTTCGGCTCCTCTTTCACCTCTGCTTTGAGCTCTGTCTTCGTAGCCGAAGCACTGCTCTGCTCAGCCACTGGTCGTCCAGGAGCGGCCGCCTTAGCTGCAGGAACAGACTTGTCCGCATCCTTCGCCGTCTTTGCCGGCTCAACTCCATAGGCGTGGGACCTGCATCAGCCGCTGCCTTGGGAGCAGCTTTGGGAGCGCTCGGACAACGTCCTTGCCTTCCGCTTTTCCTTTCTCGCTGGGAGTGCTCGGGCTAACGCCCTTGCCTCCCTTCCCGCCTGGCTTTCCTTTCCCTTTGGCCTTACCAGCATCAGGCTCCATCCTGCTTCGCTTCGCCTCAGGGCCCAAGGACTTCTGAGTGTGGATGGAGGGTCCGTCCATCCTCACGCTCCTTGATGGATGTAACAGTTCTCCATGAGGATAACTCCTCTGGACGGGCTCCGGCAGTTGCACCGTTGGCAGTGTGAAGGGCGTGAGTGTGACCTCCCCTTGCGATGAGAACCCTATCGGGTCCCTTCACATCGCTCAAGCCAACAAGGTGCATGGGACAGCCTGTGTCAACCAACCAGCGCACCCCGTTATATCCAACAGGAGAACCTTCTTGGTATACTTTGGCTTGCGCGCAAGTGCCCATTATCCAGCAAAACCTGGGCGTGTGTGGAGGCCGCTCTTATCAGAGCACTAGCAGTCGGATGGCTGTAACCAGCCTGTCTCATGACCCCCTAACGGGAGAGGGGGTCATGCGGACCGTCTGCTTGGACAATTGTTCGACCTGACTTCACTGCAAACACGTGCCGAAACGGATCTGAAGCCAGAACCTGTCTGTTTTGAAGCGCACCCTGATCCGCAAGAGTCAATTCAGGCGATATATAGGAAGATCGAAATCCTTATGGCTACGCACAAGAATGAGGTTCAACGTACCAATGCAGCGCAAGAAGATCTGAGGTTGGCCAATGGTCGTATGACCACTAGTGAAGGACATCTGGAGCATGTTGACAGGTCCCAGCCCGAAAAAGGGAGTTTGAGAGGAGGTCTTCAACATCACGGATTGGATGACTGACAATTGCAGAAGGATTACCGCTGTTCAACACGATCTCGACCGCTTGAGGGAGTTGGCCGGACAAGTGTGCTGGCCATAGAGGGTGACTCCTCTCAAGGAGTCGCTGCCATGTTGCAGAGCCAGACCGAAAGGGTGCCGAATCAGTTCCTTGGAGCTCGTCGAAGTCCCTCTTCATGGCCTATCCCGCATGACGTTCTCCATGCAGGATACAGCGGGCCTGCTCTCATCTTCAAGCTTCTGGATCTTTTTGATCGTCCACGCACGCTTGCTGCTCGAGAGCGGAGATCCCCTCATCGCATCTCGGACAGCAAGTGTCATAGTCGATATTTTCTCCGTGCAACTCGTGTCCCTTCTTTGAGTCTTTGGCCGATCTTTCAGATTCTCCTTTTGGCTTCAACCTACCGTGCGGGGCACACCCCTTGTCAAAGAGGACGGTTACGGCGGTCCAGAACCCACGCGTGAAGTGCCGGTGGCCGGTGGTTGGGCGCATCGGGTCGATGATCGTCCCTGATTGCCAGGTGCTCCAAGGCTGACAGGGAATAGATGCGCAGAGGTCACATCCAGGGTTCTCCTCAATATTACCAATGAGCCGCTCAACGTCCCAGACCTTGGTGATGTTGAACCTATGTGTAAGTACGCGAATGGCTGCGCCGCCGCACTCCATCATCACTGCAGAAAGGCAAGAGGCAGGCTCGCAAGCAAACTCGATGAGAAGCCTCCGCCCAGCGGGACCAGCTATATCCCTATCGGGATGTTCACGGCTTTGTTCCTGCGTAAGGGATATCTCCCTTTCGGACTGCACCCGCATCCTGGTGGACATTTGCCTCAGCAATACGGCCATGCCCCCAAAAGTGATGAATCTGGTCAAAACCAGTAAGGCCTAGCCAAACCTGTCAGTACTGGACGGTGGGCCTAGCGGCCTCTCGGAACTCTTTGCTCTCCAGATGTTCTCCTCCTCGGTTGATGTCCTCCTCGATGACCTCAGCTTGGTACTGACAGGGCTTGAGAGCCCTCGGTACCTCCAGACGGCCTCCCAATGTTAATCGCAAAGCTGATGAAATTGTTTTTGTTCTGAAGCCACCGCAGAGCCGCTCCTGTCGGAGCGAGCTCGTTGGGATTGCTCATCATCAGAAACCTGACGGAACAATCGATCATCACTGTCGTCCACAAACCTGCTTCGCCCGCGAGGTGTGTTCCTATCGGGAGCATCACCCATGCGACCACCACCTGCCCAACTCTCCTCAAAACAAAATCCTCGTAGACGAAGTCCGGCATCCCTTCACCTTGTGGTGGGGCCACCTAGGATGGCCTCCTCATCCACGAGGCTCCTAGAACTTCGCGGAGTCGACGTCATTGAGCTCGTAGTTGTAGGTCACAAGCACGCAGGAAAGTCCTACGGCTGATAACCTGTGATTCGGGCACGGACCTGTGCCCAGGCAATTGGAAAAGTTGGGTAAACAAGCCACAAAAGAAAGGCCCCAAAGCAGTAACCAATCCCCGGTACACAAGTCACAAACAACCACAGTCCAAACCAAAAGGGAAAAGGATGCCCGCAACCTGGGTCGACGATGAGCCGCACGAGCACTCCCCAACAACCTGCCCCGGGCCGAAGTCTCTTTCTCCTCCGACGCGTGGCTGATCGACGTGGGGACCTGGCGACGCTCGCGACGGATCCGAACTTGAGCCAAATGCCAACGGATGGTTGCTATCGCAACACCTCCGAATGACATTCAAAGACATGGCTAGTCACAGTTTATCTATTTTATTATTATTTTGCTTTTTGGGGGGACCTGGTTCTTGGTTGCGAGTCCGTCGGGCTGCACGAATTGTTCCAAGCTTCGGCAAGCGGCATCGGGCCGCCAGTGGCGCAGGCAGGTGACGCGAACATGGGTAAAGTTGGCGGGTCAGGAAGAACGTATGTCGATCTTTTACCCTCAGGGTGACCACCCGCGACAAAAGAATGGATTCTGATGGGCATTCGCATGCATATGTACAACTGCCCAGGAAAATGTGTGAAGCCATTAAAAGATGAAAATTTGGTCAGTGGCGACAAATCTTACCAGGTACTGGCAAGACAATGTCGACTGTTGGTGACGCATTGCTAGACTTCGTTTGGCTGTCATCATTTTCCAGCTGGCCAAGACACGCGGCGCATTCATATTGAACATGTACATGCATGTGTGTACAGAGGTATGCAGAGACATATTGGCGTATGTGTATATAAGTATATATGTATATATGTTGTTATGTATATATCTATATACGTATACATGTGTGTATGAATGAATGCAATGTAATGTAATGCAATGTAGTGTAATGTAGTGTACTGTAATGTAATGTAGTATAATGCAATATAATGTGATGTAATGTAATGCAATGTCGTGTAATGGAATGCATGAATGTAAATACATACATATATATATATGTATACATATACATATGTTGTGCATACACATGTGAATTGTGCATCCATGCATATATGTATGGTGGGTGAACATATGCATATATGTGTACGCGTATATATACATACTATGTATATGTGCAAGCACGTATGCATACATGTGTTTGTAAACATGTGCACCCCCTTCAAAGCCGAGATGGTCATATCGTTTGATAGCCCGTCTATCTTGTCGGGATTTTTTTTAACATGCCCTCTGCCATTTATCAGAAGTTTGACACGTTGATGATTCATGTCAATGTGTTTTCCAAGTATTCGCCGCAGCACGCGAAGCTGAACAGGTCTGATACAGACCTTTTGAAGACCGTGGCCAGCTCCGTTGCCTGTTCGCCACGGTTTGTTTTTCAGTGACCACACATCCAGCCCTTGGTGTTCAGTTTGTATCAGACTGTCAGACATTTTCACGTTCATCGGCTGAGGTGAGGTTCTTCTACCCCTTCCGCCCTGAGATCCAGGTGCTGAAAGGCGGGCAGAAGCGTAGTTCAAGCGGATGAGGTTTTTCACTTCAATTTCAATCCAAGCGGCAGTGACACTTGAATACTCTTTGTCAGTTTTCAGCATCATGTGGTTTTTTTCAGGTCTTGAGGTATCAAAGCCACGCTCTCTCTTGCGCAGAAGCTGCTTCTCTTGAAATGCTCGCAGGAGCTTTCCTTGTGACATGCGAAGTCCACTTGGGGCAGTCTAAGCGGATCCTTTCTGCCAGGCCCTGAGAACTGTTCAACCAGAAAGCCGTGCAAGGGCATTTCGACTGCTTTTGTGTTGGTTTGTTATGTTGGTTTTACTGCTGCTTTGTTACGTTTTGTTTTGCGCCCGGCAGCAACCTGCCCATTCTTGTATTCCTTGCCCTTATTCATTCTCATGTTGATTGAACGCAGGATGGATGCTGTGGATCATGAATCCGAGCTTTTTGTAAGAGCCCAGAGCCAAATGGCTCATGACTCAACATGGTGGCCCAGATCACGAATCGATCTTCGTCCCTTTGAAACATCCAAGTTTCCTGAAGTCAATTTTCGGCATCGCTCCGCTCATTTGCGCGAACATACTGTCTCAGGATAGTCGTAGTTGATGGCGGGAAAGGCTTGAGGGGCCCATGACCCCGAACAGGACATGAGAAGCTTGACTTCAGCCTCCGACAGCTCAGACACACTTCAGGGACTCAAGCCACCAATGGGCAAGCTGAAACAATGGGCTGAACTGGCCGGCATGGGAGTCCACAAAAGAAGAATGCCGCTGCCATGTTATCCGGATGGCTCTGGCAACCTTCAAAGATCTTTGGCTAGGCTCCCTCCCACTGACCTCGGGCACCTGACAGGGGGTCCCTACAAGAGGAATCGATCTTCCAGGGGACCCTCCCACACGTGCTATGTTAGTTGGAGGGAGGGCGGGCGTAGTAACCTCGCTGAGAAATGCGCAAGATTCTCGTGTAACAAGCCCGGCATTGCAACGGGCCTCTTTTTAGTAGCGATCTCATGCTGAAGGCTGTGTGTCTTGCGAGCCCATGCTGTGGTCTTTGAACAGTTATTCCCATTTTGGTGAATCACTTTCCCCGAAACAGGACCATTTGGCTGTGGTTCCCTTTTTGGAGGTTGGTTTGAAGGGGGAATCCAAACGAAACCACCCATCTTTTTGGGTTCCCCCGTTAGACCAGCCATTTGGGCCCAGCCCACGCGAGGCATCAGCTTCAAGATCAACGCCGGGCAATCCGTGGGCTTGGTGGGGCCGTCTGGTGGAGGCGCGCCACATGAGGGTGCCAGCCCATTGCTGATATGCGCAAGTCGTGTCTAAGTGTTACCACAAAACATTTGCGTATGTGTATATATATATATATATGATATGCATTGCACACACCCTGTTTGGCTGGGCAAAGGAGCTTGGCGAGGTATCTACTTTGCGCTCGCAGCAAGTTGTAGGTATATATCAACTCACTCGCAGCAGCATGTGAGCAAGAGCATCATGCTACTATATGCGTCATCACTAGTGGTGCAGGGCAGAAACAGTAGCGACCGTGGCAAATGGCTTGTTTTTAGTTATAGTTGCTGTGGCTGTGGCATGTAACTATAGTGGCAGTTGTACTTGTTGTCGCTGTTGTGGCACGGTTTTTGCTGCCGTCACAGAATGGTGTATTGTCAGCTTAGCACAACTCATGTGAGAGGTATACGACGCATTCGCCCCAATGCATGCTGCCGTAAATCGACTTGTTGACGTGCGAGTTGTTGACGTGCGCATAGAGATGCAGTCATGGGCATTGCAAAGAACATTGGTCTTGACAGAAGATCACAACCTAATGGTTCAACATCAGGGAGGCAACCTACCTTTTACCCGGTCCCTCACTCAACATGAGTCGGATTCCCTTTTTGTTATGGCCATGAAGCGGTTGGGTTTGGATTTCGTTGGCTTTCTGTCTCTATTGCAGGCGAGGAGTGATTTGCTGACTCCGACGCAACGTGCCTAGCTGTTGCCAGGGTTTGTTTGTCTCTTCCTTCACGACTTCACCAATCCCGAACTTGAGGTGACGGTTGAGTACACCGATGCTTGTTGCCGCATCCAAACATTCCAGTTTGCCAAGGGGATTGGTGACTGTTCCTGGCCCAACTGGTGTTCGAGGGATCAAAGTTATGCATTTGACAAGCCTTGCATGCGGCGATACATCAGTTTGTCTCTGAGCCCAACAGGGTGTTTTCCGGTTGTTTTTCTTTGGTTCCTTTCAAACAAGCCCGGTATCCGACCCAGAAAAGGAACCACCCCCCACGGGGCTTTGGCAATTGGCGCATGTGTGAAACGTGATCAGTTCGACTCGAGCTTCGCCGATGGGCCAGGC